ATTTTCTTTCTCATTTTTGTTAATTTAGCACTCTCCTATTTTCTTCATTTTTCAAACAAGTTCACGCATAGTTCGAATTCATATGTATTGCTACAGTCAAATCTACGAACAATCACGTTTCGTTTACTTTACAAAATATCTAATTTTGTATTTACTTTTACAACTAAAGTAGAAATAAATAAATCTATATTCTTGTCTGCCCATTCTTTTCTCTGTTTTCCTGATTTTCGGCTGCCAACCTGTTCTAGAAAGTTGTTTCCTTTTCATGTATAAACTGCAGATTACCTACTGTGTAGTGATGTCATTGTACTATCTAATACATATATAATAATATATCTTCCACAAATTTCAGCTTTCTTTTTTGTGGTACAATATGATAACAAGTACTATATAGTAATTATTATAACTTCAAAGCTTGGTTATTACATTTTTTACGTATTATATAAAGGCAACCACACACAACAAAAAAACTATTGCTTCTGCCTTCCATCTTCACGGTTCTACTTCAGTTACTAGGTATGTAATTTTGTTCTTATTTAACTCCACATATTGTTGTTCTTGAGTTTTTTTTATCAGGTTTTTTTCCCTCCTGCTATCTTCGTTCTACTTCAGTTATTATATACCTCACAGAAACATAAACAAACAAGAAATAAAAAATAAACTACTTTTGTTTTTCTTCATTTTTTCCTATTCTATATCAACATTCTAGGCTATGTTTCTCGTATCTATTTTATTAGTTGAAAAACACTTCTGTTTGTTTTAAAAAAATCGTTCTAGCTGCTAAGTTTGATTATTACAAATTTTCAATACTATCCAGACAACAGAAAAAATATTGATTCTGTCTACCTTCTTCACAATTCTATTTCGATTATCTGCTTTATAGTTTTGTTCTTGTTTAACTCAGCTTACCTCTTGAGTTCTTATTTTTACTACTTAAGTTATAGATTCTATACTATGTTTCTCTTGTTTATATTAGCTAAAAAACAAACACTTCCATTTGTTTTTAAAAGGTGCAGTGTAAAATATATTTTATGTTAACTTACTGGTCATATTTTTCTAACTTCTCTTTGCTTCTACCCAACTAATACAGAGTAATATCATGAATCACCAATTTAGTCTCATCACGAACATTAGCCATGGCTAAAGAAACTGGACATCGAAAGTTATGGTTGCTGAAAAAGCACCTCCAAAATTATTACAAAATGGCCAGATCAGATACCAACACATGATCCTCATGGATGAAAGAGTAAGTTTTAGTGCGCATTGTCATTTCGTGATAAATTTATTATTTTTTATGGTACCAACCTCGCTCTACAATCTCCATTATAACATGTGTTACTATTACATATACATATTTAAAAATGAACTTCAACCAAATATGTAATCTTTAAATTATTAAACTTAATATAGTTATCTACTTATCTCTATAACAAAGAAAATTTCACTTACAAATCATTTACTGCAGGATAACAAGGTGTAGGCTACCCTCTGGGACAACAGTATTGCAGCCTTCAAAGATGATCTCAAAATTGGAAAAACTTACTTAGGCACCGTTTGGTAGTCATTATTCTAGAAAAAAATACATTCTTTGTGTCAAATCACACCTTTTTTGTGGTTGAAAATGAAAGAAAAGTTATTGATGTGATGGAAATGATTATTTTATTGATGAATGTGTGGTTGAAAATTAGTAGAAGAATGAGAATGAAAAAAAGAATGGATACCAAACAGAGGCTTAATCTCAAATGCATCTGTCAAACATACAAAAGTAGGGTACAAAAATGCATATGGAGACATTCAACTATCTCAGGTACTACTCAAGTGGAAGAAACAAATGAAGACCACAGCGCACAGCTATTCTCTACCTTTGAATTCACTGCGTTTCACGAATTTGAAACTATGATGGACACAGACAAAGATTTAAGTACAGCTTACTTTCTTTCTCTCTTTTTTTATGCCACCAGAATTCTTTTATTACATTTACAGCTCCTTCCTTCCCTCCCAAAAACAATAATATTTGCTTAACATTTTTATATTTATTATTATTATTATTATTACAAATGCATTTGCAGTCGCCATAGACTTGCGCCCTAAACGTCTAATCCATACAAGAGGTGGTTCTGAAACATATGTGCAAGACGTCGTGCTAATTGACAGGAAGTTAATAACATCTTCTTTATTCATTTTTTTACACAACACATTTTGTACAAAACAATATTACATATTAACTGCTCCTCCTGCTTCTCTAAATTTTCAGCTTCCAAACAATTCTATTGACAATTTGGGATGCCTTTGTTGAAAAGGAATGCTCTACAATTGCACAGAACATATCTAAGAAGCAAGTTATCATAGGACTCCACTTAAAAGTATCTTCATTCAACGGTAATTATATTAATGCTTTCTAGCTGCAAATAAATTTGTGCTTTAGTTCACCTTTAATTGTACCATAGTGCTTCATACCTCCAAATGAACATGGCTGCCAATATCTTACCATCTTCTTGATATACAAAATGTTTACTAATATATGGACTTTTTTTTAGGGCTGACACTATCCACAAGACCACATACTTGTTTCTTCATTGATCATAAATTTAAGGAAGTGGATGAGATGAAATCATGGTAACTAATCTAATTTCTTTCATCTGTATTAATTTTATAGAATCCCTGTAATAAGGCATGTCTCCAACATTACACTTTCTTTAATTGTACAGTGTTGTATTTGTATTAGTAACTTTCGATTTTGAACATTGGCTTCCACATCCTGTAAATGACATTCATATATCATATTAGTTTTATTTTACTTATCTTTAACCTTCACATCCTGTAAATCACATTCACATGTGAGATTAGTTTTATTTTGCTACCTTATCTCATCCATAACACATTTTGCTAAACAAACATCACTGTCCATAGTTTCTGTTACAAATAAAAATAGCACACACAACCTAACTATTACCTGAAATGTACTGCGGTACTTACTCTTTCCTCTTATCTCTTACTTATGATTCTTGTCATAAAGGACTGTTGACAATAGTGAAAAATTCGATGAAATCACTGCAATGAAAGGCTATCCTTTATTAAGTCCTTCAAAGTTGTCACCTCCAGCTGCAAACAGATTTACTCAAATTCTCGAAATCCAGTCTTCAGTTCTCACAGTAATGTTTTCATTCTTCTGTAACAATTTCATTTCATTATTTTTTTTGCATCAGTATGATCACGTAACTTCACTAAACTTTCCTTCATGTACTTTCAAAGAACAAGTATTTCTGGGTAAAAGCAAAAGCACACGTTCAGTCTAGGAACACAAGTTTCTGGTACCTGTCATGCAACAACTGCAACAGGGTTTCCGATGCTGACAAAGCAGAAGAAATCTACTCTTGTAGATTTTGCAAATCTAGCAGCTCAATTGCATCTCCAAGGTACACACGTCATCCTTCAACACACTGCACAGTCATTTTAATCACTTCATTTACTTTATTCAATTCACAGTTGAAAGTAGTGTTCTTATCACATCATTTTCCTCCACCACAAATATCCAGTTTTGCTAACATCTATGTATGCTACAGAGCCAAAGCTGATGTAATCTTGGAGGATTCAACGGGAAATCTAAAAACTTCAGTCATGGGTGAATGTGCTAAGAAAATCTTTCGTTGCTCTGCAAACGTGCTCATGAAAAGAAATGCTAATGTACTGATTCTATTCAACTTCATCATTTTCTTTCCCCCTAAAATATATGTTTATCGCCATTTAATTGCTAATCAATTCTCTCGTGTTTGTAGGACACTATCCTATCTAATGATGAAGACATTCGCATAGATATCGAGGATGAACATATCTTTTACATCAAGGCACTTCCAATGGCTACTGGCTCACCGTCAACAAAATACGCTGCTTATTCAGATTTTAAATACGAAATAATATTCATGATTGATCCAACTGAAACATCTGCTACTCCAGAAATGGCATCTGGTAACAAGGAAAAAGATAAGATCAATGTTGAAGACATTGCATCTTCCAACAAAAATGTGTTGCCGCACTCTCCACCCGCAAAGCGATCTCGATTCCAGAATCCTAATGAGCAGCCCAACACCGCGAACAAGAAACCAGGAAAAACAGTGGGAGACAAAGATACAGATGCAGCTGCCCTAAAAAAACTCCTATGATGCAGTTTCAACCATGGTGAATAAAGTCTTTTTTGGGTTCTAGCTAGGTAAAAGACACCAGATCATCTAAATTCTAATGGAACACTAGCTGTGTTACACTTTGAGCATTTCAAATTGAGAATTTGTATTTACTTTTGAACTCCAAACCTCATTCCTATATGCTTCATATGTATCTTAACTGCTCGAGTACTGCTCAAGTAGCTGAACAATTGACAAGAAAATGCTCGTCATGTAACAAGTATATTTTGTATGTTTTATTGAAGTATGTTTACTCTGTTAGTTTCTTTCTTTCTGCCAACAATTTCCTATTTCACGTGTCCTCTATCTGCAAACAATTCAATTTTAAGTACTTATAATATCCAAAATGCTTTCTTTTTCATTTTGTAACAAGAATTTCTTCTTCAAGATTTGACATTCATGACTTTACTTCCATCTATTTATTGTAGTATATATCCCAACGCTAATATGTACAAGGAGAATGCACGTGCCGCCACTAGTAATCCAATAAGAGAGACATACAAATTGAATGCTGTTTTGCAAAAAATAACAAACTTGTCAAGGACACTTGTAGTTTCTACCAGGACCTCCATAGTAGAATTCAGGTTCTTCAACATAGTCACTAAGGTAATAAGCATCATAACAATTGTACTCATCCGTATAAATATTAATCCATTGCGGAAACGTCAATTCCATATTATTTCTAAGAACCCTCATTCTTTTGATGTAGCCCGAACTTTGCATTATATAATCGGAAAATCGACCGCTGCCCATACCCGTAGCTGTGTGCGGATGAGTTCCTACCTGTCGAAGAGAAGATTCAAATGAATACATATTGTCTCTTGGCCTTGCATCCATTAAAAAATGTGCACGGGTAGGCTTTAAATGAATACATTTGTATTAAGATTTTAGACGAGATTGTTAACCAACCTTGGAGCTATAAACGTCGCCGCCCCATTGAACAGTTTCAGCATGAGCTCTTAACATACCAAAGAGATCAGATGGCCAGTATCCTATGTTGATTCTCTCTCCATATTGCACCCACCAGTTGCTTGTGTTTGGGTCCTGTAAAAAAAAGGTACTCATTTAAGATGTTATATGAAATTTCACTATGCCCCTATTTGGTTTAGCTAAAACTTAAATTTTAATAAACGTTGAAGAGATGTATGCTTGAAAACTTGATAAAAGTTGTAGATCCCATAAAATGTGTAATTAAAATTAATCATTAAAGCACCGTTTGGTAACCATTATTCTAGAAAATAATGCATTCTTTGTGTCAACTCACATCTTTTTTGTGGTTGAAAATGAAGGAAAAGTTTTTGATGTGATGGAAAATATTATTTTATTGATGAATGTGTGGTTGAAAATTAGTAGAAGAATGAGAATTGAAAAAAGAATGGATACCAAACAGAGGCTAATTTTGACTTAGATTTTTATCAACTTTTTAAACTAAACCAAATTGGGGATGTTGGCTATGGAATGGTAAATTGTAGAGGAGCTTTTTAGATTTTCTAACTTTGTAGATATAAACAGTTATCTGATATGGAAGTCCTGTAGGGTTTGAGATAGGATAGATGGCAGCACCGAGAGCTATCTGGTTGCTGGTTTGAATGAAACCGGGACAAGTGAGGTCAAAACAACCTGTTTTCTTCGAACCATCAGCCTGGTATGAACATAATGTGGTGAAACAAGTTACTATAAAAATTTTATGGAACATTTGATAAGGCGAAGTAGACAATACTTGAAACTTACGGTCCAATAAACGTATAGTCGAGTTTGCCTGTCTCCATAAACGCTGGGATTTACCTGTAATGTCGTCGTTTTTGTGCATAAAGTGCTTCATAGATGAGTAATCCCAATATATAAAGACGTTACTGTTGTCAGCATAGTTCTATTTTTTGCTCATGTACAATGAAAAACGAATGATTGTCTATATGAAGTCTTTTTTTGAGATTAATTTAGACTTGAACTATTAGAGTGATTATACTCACTGCCCATCCAGATTCAATTGCATCATAGTCCAACCGAGGGCCACTCCTCAGAGCTACCCGAGAAGTACTATATTCATCATCTGATTCAACTTGCGGGGTCCAGACTTTGATATCTCCTTTGGCGCCCAAGTACGCAAATCCTAATGTAAGCAAGATTGCGACCTATTCACACGACAAAAAGTTAAGACAGAATTCTAGGAAGAAACAGATGATTAACAACATAAGGGAATGTACATACTGAATGGTTTGGCTGTAGAAGATTTAGCATTTTGCTTTCATTTAATTGCTTCTTCTTGTTGTCATGGAAGGAAGCCAGCTTTTTTGTCCCATACTTCTCAACTACATCTCCTTTCGAACCATTATTCTTTTCTATCCTCCGAATGGGAATTGTTCCCTCGGGACAACTTCCACTTCTCTGCCATAGCTGTGTCGTCACAGTCTCGGAAGAGTCTCTATTTATTTCAGTAAACAATTTCTTAGTCTTCTTTGTTATATCATAGCTTGGGGCCAGCTGCGGGAAAATTGGATTTTTTTTTTCGTCTGTCATCTATGCAAATATCACATAATTCGAATCATAATCACATTAGAAATTTATACAGACCTGGATTTTATGATTCCTTAAAGAGGGATGATCCAAAGATGGCTGCTTGTAGATATGGATGCAGTCAATAATATCTCCATCTTCACTCTAACAACATGACATGAAAATATTTTATGCAATCAATAATACCTTGTGTTAAGCAAATGTACGTGATGGAACTCGATTCAGACAAGACTGATGACGAATATTGTCGACTTATTCCATGGATTGATTTAGTAGTCAAATTTTCTGTCCAACGACGAAAGAGAATGGGGATGTAGGTGATGAAGGCATACCTGAATGCTTCTAATTGCACGGCTTTCGTGGAAGTTTTCTTTCCTATGTCCGTTCTCCACAAATCTGCTGCTGACAGAGGTAAAAATAATTTCTAGTAATAAAACAGACATCCATTTAAATCCCATAATTATATCAAAAGAGATGATCAAAAAAGCAAGTTCAAAAATCTGCTTTTATCTGAAACGAAAAATGTTTATTTTGGCTCTGAGTTGAAATGTGTTTTGCAAGTATATTATCCACAAAGAGTGCAGGAAAAGGGGCATGCAGAAATCTACTATTATAGAAGTGCTAAACAACTCATAGTTTGCATGACTTACTTTCCAATAATCCAATCATTCAGATTTCATTCGCTATTTGAATAATTGAAACAGAACAGTGATAAAACCATGGAGTGATGATTTATTATAATGCCTTATTGTGGAGGGGCATGTTTCGACAGATTTATAATTTAAACCTTAATTCCTAACTCAGAAAATGAATACACGTCTTCTTCTTCTTCTTCTTCTTTTTTTTTTTGATGATTCAAGTATTGAGTTTCATCTGACTAATCCTGAGGAGTGGCGATCTTCCCCTTGGTTCGCCACCGGGGTAAATCCAAATGCGATCACAACTTATACATACTTGGACCTAACATTTGGGAAGCAGTTCTCCTCCATGTGGACCACCCTTTACAACATGCTGATAGGACCTCGGAAGAGCGGCAAAGCGCACCATAACTTTGCCACCACATGACATCTGCCTTCCAACATAAATGTTGTTTTCCAGTTGCCGCGGGAGTTAACCTACGATGCTCCGTAAAGAACCCTTCTACTTTACCACTGCGTCATGCTCATGAGGGCAATACACGTCTTTTTGTACCATTATGTATGGTTTACTTGTATTTTTACTAGAAGATCTAAAACAATTAGATTCGTGTATATACTCTCTATTCTACGTATTGCATCGGGATAAAAAGCCAATGTCCGTAATTTCTATGGCCTGTTCATAATATGCCCATCAACTCTAAATGGTTGTCCAACCCACTTAGCGTTTCTCCATCTCGTAAAGTACCCTTGGTTAATCGTAGTCGACACTTGGTTTTAAAGTCTCAACCTCCTTCCTAAGATGTACGTTAGGTTCTCAATTTGAATCTCGCTAACGGATTTTCTGGATGAAAATTATCATTAACAATATGTGTTATATACAAATTAATGGGAGGCCAAGTATGAAAACTTCAGTTTAGCTCAAAAGCTAAAGGATACAATTTATTATTATTTTTTTAATAAAAACCGAAGTCAACCATTTATCATTTCCCTTTAGATAAATAGCCAAGAACTTCTAACATACTGAGAAAGTAACCAATTGACCAATTCGATCGTTCGGGGAGATGATAGCAAATGAAGCATACGCGTCTATTTTATTCATATTCTAGATGTAAAATTACGAGATCAACATCCTACCTCACTAAGAAGTACTACAATATCATAAACAATTTGTGCAACTGGAATTTGTACTATTTTTAAGTTTGAAATCCATCCAAAATTTTTAAAAATCAATATATTAATAAAATCCCTAAAGATCCATGAGTTATAAAAGATGCCTAGAATTTAAATGAATTCATTGAAATTCATTAAAATCTTAATTGAAAACACATGAATTTAGAACAACCGAGTCACCCAGTGAACAAGTCGAGGACACCTCGTAAATAATAAATTCACCACCCAATGGAAATATCTTAATATGCTCCCACGATTTATCTGCTACTTAATGCGATTACTTCACACTGCACAGTTGACCGCAGTAGAGAAAAGGAAAGGGTGAGCCCCTGCAACACCCCCAGATCTCTCACTCGTGCGCGCACACACCGTGAGACTGAGAGAAGCGTGAATTTGAAGCTGGTTCTGGAGAAAAAATGGTGAACTACATGTTGATGATCACCGCGGAACTCGAGAATCTCACTGACCTTCAGCCTCAAGGCGGTTGTGATGATCCTAACTTCACCTATTACTTCAAGGTGTATACATTTCTTCATCTTTATGCGCGTATTTTCACTTAACGAAGAGGTTTTTTTATTTAATTTAGTAGTGTTTTTGTTGATATTTCTCAGAATACGTGGGGGTTTATGGTTTGATTTCCTTTTATTTCTGGTTTTTGACTTATTTGTTACAATATTTGTATGTATAAGATTTCGATTTGATGTTGTGACTGATATGAGTGGAATCTGATCGTAGTGACTGAAAATTTTAGTGATTTTGTACTTACTGTTTTAGTTACTACTGTTGTTCTTATAAGGTTACTAATGATTAGAATTTAGAAGTATGATAGTAATTATATATAACTTATCCAAAATTTCTACATATGAACGATTGAATTGTAATTTAGCTTGATTTGCGATACATCTCTGTGTGCGTGTATTATAATTTGTTAAAAGCATGCTTGGTAAACTCTTACAACTGACTCAATCGGATCATGATCCAGACTTCTTTTCCATCTGGAAGCACCCCCAGGGTCGCTCCATCCCAGCATTCCCGTAAAGATGGCTGCATTGATACCATTGTTACAAGCACATTGTATGGAACTA